TCCTGAAATTCACTCTGATTCTTATTTTGATTAGGCGCACCGACAGGAAATGTTGAAGTGTCCAGGTTTTGCTCAAAAGATGAAAAACAATCTTAGCAGAAATGCATTCCATTCCATTTTCCCACTCAAGAATTCGGCTCGAATCCATTCAATTATAACCAGAGAATTCCGCGGTCTCATGGCGAAAGAGCGCCCGCTTGCCTTCGTCTACACAGAGTAAACGACTCATTCCAAGTATAAATGTTCGCTCGAAATTTGGCTCATCGCGCTTTAAGTCCCTGTTTTCAGCGAAGCGAGAACATCGTTACCGGATTGTACTGGAAAATCAGCGCTTGTCTCCATTTAAACCCATGTAAAATATCCACATTTCATTTTAAAACCTGGCAACCTTGAGCGAAAAAGCATCCCGTCGCGTGAAAATATGCAAAGAACAGAGGTTTCCCTCCGACCCCCAACCATCTTCCATCCCTTTCGCCCACGCTCACAGTGCGCTAAAAGGAATTACGTGCATACGGATTACGTGCGAATATAGTTCCTTTTAACACAAATGCGTCCGGTTATTCTATTAACAGATGTGACAAATGCCGGCCAAAAGACTGGCGGTGGAAACTGATGCTCACGCGGTTTTCCTTCTCATTTTCCGCGCCCTCAGCTTTTTCTTTCGTTTTTCCGTTTGGTTTGCTCAGCATCTTGGCTCCAACACCCCGCGCTGTGACAAGAGCTCGACTTCGGCAAAAAACGGGAGCAAGTGTTTTCAAACTGATCGGTCGTTTTTCAATTCACGTCACTTTCCTGACGGAAGGGCGTATCTTTATTTCAATTTGAGCCCCTGCGGGCTGATAATTGAAATTGATAGACAAAGCTATAGACAAAGCAGGCAAAAGGTATATGGAGAGATCCTATTGGTGGAAGCGGGTGGTTGCACTGGACAAAGAGAGTAGGTAATGGACTAGGTAACGCGGCAACTCACGAGGGACCCGATAGTTAGTCCACCATTTTCTCCCTTAGTCAATTGGAACCACCCATTTCAACCAATAGGGTAGCTTCATACTCCCCATGTCTCCTTTTTCTATCGCTTTGTCTATCAATCTCAGTAATCGGCCCACGGGAAGCATTAGGTTGTACAGAGCTCAGGGCTCATGTGAAAATTGAGATACGTCTCGACTCTCGACGTCTGGGGAGCGACGTCAAGCGATGATTATTTGGAATTTTTGCATTAACTTGTTGTTACTAAGAAGAATTGAATTTATACAAAAAAGAAAACCATGTCCTTGATCGTTGGGCTACATTTTGGACAACGGAGCTGTAATAAATAGCTAATTTCACAAGCAACGTATGTTTCATCAGTTTCCCTATGCAAATACATGTCTTTTTGGAAAAGTCGAAATCCTTAGCTCCTTAAGTTAAGGAAACGACTCGATCATTGCATGCCTCAATTCAAATTGCGTATGGTGCAAAAGTTTCTATATTATGATACAAGTTTTTCATTGTGACAACCGGGGGAAGATAAGGGTTTCACACTTAAAATTCCTTATCGGATAAGATTTAGTTGGTCATCGATGCTCCATCCATCCATGCTTTACGCTTTCCTAATGGACCAGTGGACAAGGTACCTTTTCATCAATTTTGATTATTCACAGTGAATCAACGAAAGCTCATTTAATCCGTGCGAAACTTTTTAAATTCACAACCGCTTTTGAGTAAGTTGCGATCTTGTAAACGGCGACTCTTTCAGTATCGCTTCAGAATACGATGACCGAAGCAAGGGACTTAAAATACACAATCTGATCCAGCCGCCTGCGCTCTCCTCTTTGACATAAGACGTAAAGACCAAAAGCAATCTTATTGGTTTTTCAAAATAACATTCCTCAGCATCCTTCGAATATGCGGCTCGATTTAAAACCCAAAATTTTGAACTTTTTGGTCAACATCGTGGTACAAGGCCACTCACAATGGATACAGTAGAGCGCCTTCAAATCAATCCGTAAACTTAATGCAAAATTCTGATACCACTATTCGTGCGCCACGGCAGTCATTTTGCATACCCGGCCATTTGAAGGCGAATCATTGACTTCAGGCAACGGGGTACGCATTACAGCAATGTCATTCGATATTCTAAGGGAGAAAAAAGGAGCCAAAGTCGGGGGTCACCCCCCTGGCCCCTAAGAAGCCAAAGCCGGGGGCCACCCACCTGGCGACTATGGATCCAAAGCTGGGGGCCGCCCACCCGGCCCCATCAGTATGTCACAAAAGTTCCTTCGTTTTTTCCATTTATGCAACACGTGCAGTCACGAAGCCTGAATAGTTGTATCCAGATGCCGCATCGTTCGGTGGTAAAGTCTACCATCTTCTTCGTTATGACCTCACTAAGTCCACAACGATCCGCTGCTGTTAGAAATCTTTTCAGAACTACAATGCGAAGTTTAGGCCATGCTTTTTATTGACTTACGTGTTGTGATTGCGGAAGAAAACCAGCTCAACAATCCAACATCCCCTCGCTTTTTCCAAGACCCCCCAGGATCCTTTCAGCATTTAAAATGTGCCTTCCCATTTTTTCGCCCCCCCCCCTTTCGAACCCCTCCTCATGAAGGACCCCGACGAGTTGTAAATCAGAGTCATTTTCAGACTCGTTAACCTCGTTGCCTCATGTCACAAAGGAACGCCTGAAACCTCGAATTTTTTTGAGAAGCATGGCATCCATGCTCGTTATGAATTCCTCGTCATCTTATTTCCTTTCGCCTTTGCATAATTCCGTCCGCTTTTGATATTCTCCCCTCCCCGCCCCGCTGTTTTTTCGATGCTAAACTTTCTCCCTTTTTTGGGCCATCGTTGCCAGATAGGGCTGAAAAATCAGCATATTTTCTCATTTAAACCCGTGTAAAATACCTACATTTTAGAGTACAATCTCGCAACCTTGTTTTGGGCGCTGCGGAACTTGAGTCGTTAGACAGTGCTGTCCCCTCCAGGCGGGAGTCGGAAGGATGGGCTGCGCAATGCTTTGCGGAGACGAGTAGCATGTAGTATATCTTGTACGACCGAAGGCACGTTTTAGCGCGATGGTTTGTGGCTTGATGCAGTGTGTTGATAGTGTGGTATCCTCTGTAATTTTAAGGCGTACTTTAACGCAGGGGATTAGAGGATTTTAGAGGCGCATACAGCGTGTAGTATATCCTGTAAAATTGAAGGCGCATATCAGCGTTGGTTGTCGTGTTCGAAAGTAAATAGATTCGCTAACCGACAACCTGCTGACAAAACCATATGAGGACCTTTCCGACCAAACAGCACATACCCATGTCAACGCTGCTAAGATTGTGCATACATTCAACTGTTTATAGTTGGTAGAAAGTTGTAAGCTCTGTTCTGAAGTTGGCCTAAAATTTTCTTTCTACCGTCCTGAACATTTTGCAGAGAAATGCACAATGTGGATGATTTCGGATACTTGTAATAAAAAAAGGAAAAGCTGCCTATAATCTCAGCGACATTGAAATGAGTATATGCGTTGTTTGATCGGTAAGGTCCTCATGTAAGTAAAAACAGAAGTTACACTGAACTCTGCCTGGTACTCAAAGTCTCCCTCGGCTATTATAAAACGTGAAGCCATTAAAGTAAGACAAAATTAGTAAAAAAAAAATTGCGATCTATAACAATTCTCAGATAAGAATGTGCATACTTCATTACGTGCAAAATCAAAATTAAATAACACAACATTATTAATTTGACAAAAATAAAGAAATCATTCAACACTATAAAATCAGCTAATCTTCTTTCAAAATGTGGGGAGCCTTTCCACCATCTTGTTGATGAGTTTATGGGCCATGAATCCGGTGTAGGACTGGTATGCTCCTATATATGGACTGCATTTTGCAAAAAGGAACCAAGAGCATTGCAATGTTGCTAAGATTGTGCAACTTCTCTTGTCTTGGAAGAAAAACCTGGTCATCTACGAGAATGTTCTATTTCACACGCTAAAAACTGTAAATTTAAAACCAAAATTACCATGTAAATTTCGTATTTTTGCATGATTACAGTAATTTTATTTTGTGTAAAATTGTAATTTTATTTTGTGTTTATTGTGTGTATTTTCCACCAATTCAAGAGAAAAATTGACTGGAAACTTAGAGATTGAAAACAGTTCTTTCATTTATCAGGGACGGCATGGACTACAATTACGACATAAAAGACAACACGCAGTACACGATGTCACGATGACACAGCATGAAAATCATACAGCAATTTATTTACTTTTATGACAGTTGGGGTAGGGTGTGCAGCAATTTGAAGATGGATTCACTGGTGTAACTTTTCAGCGGATGATTTTCATTTTTCATAGAATAAAAATGAAGAGAAAGACCAGCGTCGGGAGCTCTGATAGAAAAAAGCAAATTTTTCCTTCAACTCGACAACGTCAATTCGAGACAAGTTTCCATCCATCAATATCCAAATTGCCTGCACTTTAAAATATGACTTGGCGGCCGGACCTCCCTCCTGAATATGTCGCAAACTCATTGTGAGTCATGAGGTTTGTCAGTCTTACTCATCGTTGACTCGACATCCTCCTTTTAGAAATCAATTTGAAAATAGCTCTGACGCACGTGTAAGACGCTGTAATTGAGCTCTAGCGTGTAACGGTAATTTTCGATTCAACCACAAAGTCCTGTTTTAAATCTCTTGAAAGACACATATATTACTTGTCTTTACAATATCCCTTCCCCACATTGAAAAAAAAATGAGGAAAAAAACATGTGGGAAAGCTTTAATACGTTTGTATTAGAGGAGGGCTCAGCACTTTTCTATGTAGGCGCGTTTTTAAGTTCCTCGAAGAAGATGAAAACCGTTGACATGAATGAACTCACCAAAATTTTAACTATAAATTTTGAGGAAATTACACAACCGCTATCAAAATATATTATGAAGCAGGTTGAAATCAAAAAGCGCTCCCTACCAGCTGAGTGCTTGAAGAACTCGTCAAAAGGAGACGATATCGCGTTTTTAGTCAGGAATAGGTAAACAACTTTAGTTTATTGTCACATGAAAGTATACAGAAAATTGCTCCACTGAGATTTAGACTCGTAGGAGAACTTGGCTTATTTTCATCTTTCACAACAAAATGAAGGAAGTTTAAAGTATGCTTATGAGATTACAATTTGCACGTGCCATTTCTTAACAATTTGATTATAAAGAGTACGATTTAATTACAATGCAACCACATGATTGTTGGATACCTGAATGGTAACCATAATAATCTAATAAAACCTGAGAGGTGATACCTGAACGTACTAATATTAAGTAAACATAAACATGCAGAGAATAACTTATAGTTGTAACAAACATTGAACAAAAAGTTTGAAAGAGGGAAATTATGTTGCCAAACTTGAAATTGACAGGCATAAGACGATGTGCCGAACCTACAATCACCAATCAGTCTTCGGTCTTTTAGCAACCCAGGCTTTAATTGATGGAATAGCCAAAACTTTATCCCTTAGGGCCTCGAAAAGGGGGTATTTTTCCTCCAAGGTGCGCTCCATGGTTTTATTCACAAGATCCAGTAAAGCAACTACCCACAGATCCGCCCAAGTCAACTAAAAATTGTAAGAAATTATCGTTAGTTAATAGAGTGGCGACTCATAAGCAGTTTCTTTCAGGATAAATAGGCTACAGGCAAGGACCTGAGAAAATTTGTAGCTGATTCGCAGTTATGCGGGGATCGGATGTTAAATAATATAAATATGAAATAATATTAGAGTAAATAATATTAAATAATATGATAGGATATTAAAATAATATGGGGTATAAAATAATGCTTTTCACCGTGAACAAATCACGATTTTACGCACGAGTCGTTTGGACACATGGATGGTGAATTTACCTATGGGCGTTAGAATTCAGTAAAACATTGAAATTCTCATTATATGTAGAGGGGTGAAAGCTTACTCGAGCAATCGACCACAAATTTTACATTGAACAAGCTCTTTCTCCCTTTAGAAAATTTTAGTTTTTAACTGAATTTTAACACACGATAGCAATATTATCGACACTCTGCCTAAAATTTTTCATATGTATCATTGAACTGTTTAATTTCTTGCATCTAAAAACAAATTTTACGAGACACTCTTACTTTAAGATTTGGTGAACACCTCAATACATAGATTAAGCAGCACTTACCCTTCCGTTCACGAAATAACCGTCATTTTCTTTTATTTGCTTTTCCAATCGCTCCATATAGAAAGGAATCGTTTCTCGATTCAATAATTCGATCTTTTTCTTTTTAGATTCTTCGTTGGTTTCATAGTGAGAGTTTGTGATTGCTGAAATACAATTAAATGAAAGCGTAATTTAATAGTTCAATAATTTACAAATTACGAAAGAGTAAATTGCTCCAACTGGATTGCATTTTGCAAAAAGGAACCAGAAGCATTGGAATGTTGCTAAAATTGTGCGTCTTCATCCATTGTAATATAACTATTGAAATCCTGAAAAAATATGAAATTTACATAGCAATTTTTATCCTAAATTTACAATTTTTATTGAGTATAATAGAAACTGTTTATAGACATTCAGGGTTTTCTTCCAAGACAAAAGAAGCTGCACAATAAATTCAGCATTTAAATACTTTTGGTTCCTTTTTGCAAAATGAAATCCAGGTTTTCCTCTTCTTTTTTCCCCCTAGAGTAGAAGTTCCGGAATAGATAGAAAGTACACACTGAATATTATGTTGGACATTACTCCAAATTCAAGTTTGATCTCTCAAGCATGCCCTTAAAAACAAGAAAATAATGCAGAAATCACCACGGTTATTACCTAGCCGCATATCATCAAACGTGCCCACGGTCGCGTCAATCAATAAATCCTCCCAGTCGTCTTTTCCAGCGAGGCCGCATTTTTTAGCATAGTAACGGCAAATCGCAGAAGTCTGAGTGGCAACTTTACCATCAACTTCCAAAACGGGCAGCTTCCCAAAAGGTGTAGCTGGAGGAAATTTGAAAAAAAACAGACATGAAACATGTAAAAAAAAACAACTTAATCGGCCCGAAACATTAACAGAGAAACAAGTTAAAACGGGACTAAGGCCGCAAATAATAACAAGAAGCACATAAAATAAAATAAGAAACCCGGGACGTTTCGCAGGGATCACACCCGCATTTTCAACCGGCAAAACAATAAAAATTAAAAGAAAGGACGCTATGAGCCTCACCGTTGTTATTGTGAGAATGTGAGAATCAAATAATGAAACTCAAAATGTGAGTTTCAAAATAACAACGGTGAGGCTCATAGTGTCCTTTCTTTTAATTTTTATTGTTGTGCCGGTTGAAAATGCGGGTGTGATCCCTGCGAAACGTCCCGGGTTTCTTATTTTATTTTATGTGTTTCTTTTTATTATTTGCGGCCTTAGTCCTGATTTAAGTTGTTTCTCTGTAAAACACGTAAATAAACATGTCGCAGGGAGTCGAAATTCGTCGACAATTTGCAAAACGCATGTCGACGGCGTAAGTCGGCAATCACGTAACTCGGTTTGCGACGTCGCAAACTTCCTGTCATACTTTATTGCGGGGAAATTTGGCAACGTTGAAATGTTGTTACGTTCTTTTGTGAGGGAAACGACGAAGTATAAGGCTCTTGCTAAACAAGTTCAAGACAAAATCATAAGTCTACAACGTACAGGACTTTAGACACAAAATTTTTATTCGTCCTCTTTTTTGAAATTCACGCGATTTGCCTTCTTTTCGTCCTTTTTTTCTATTATACTAAAAATGTAAGCCTCTGCATGCACTTACACGTAAAGCCTTTATTTATTCGATTTTCTCAATTGACAATATACCTATTTCTTTAGAAAATCATTCGCTGGGCAAGGAACTGCAACTTTTGCTTTGGCTACACCGTACGTGAAAGTTAGCTAAAGTGGTGGTTTTAATTTGATATAAGATTTTGGATCGGGGATAATATTTTCAATGGTTTTTAAGTTCCAGAAAAGTATTCGCTGTGTAAGAAACTGGTACTTTTGGCTACTCTACATTTCTCCAAGTCATAAAGCTAGGTTTCAGGACATTTTGTCAACGATTTTTTGTCCGCGCACCTTTTTTGTACAGTAGTTTACGCCCACATGTAAAATAAGCAACGGTGACTTGGTCCAAGCGTTACATGTATTTTAGTCGGTATGTAAAATTATAATGACAATATGGAAATGAGAAATTGAGAGAGAAGGAGGTGTTGTTATGGTTGCTCATTTTCTAAATGAAATGTTATTACTTTCTCCTTTTGAATCATCTTTTTAAATTGTCATTGGTGAATATTTGGTTTTATTTCTATCCTTAAAATATTCGATGTACAATATATCTTATATATGTATAGGTACTTTTTTTATTTTTTTTTTATTTTTTCTTTACGAAATTCTTACTTCATGTTGAAAACATATATATTTTTAAAACGTGACAAATATTTGTAAAACCTTTTCCAAGCGACATTAATCTCAATGAGCCGCAGTTGTGCCGACAGAAACTAAAAAAATGAATAAAAGAGGAAAAAAATCCAAGAAGCGCGCGATCTTTAGTTTTAACCCATTTGTACATCGATCTTTTGGAGTCAAATACGTCAAATTTTGAGCGTTTCGCGTACCCCTCGTTGCAGCACAATAAAAGTACAAAATGTAAAAGAAAAAATTAAAGTGCTTTGGAAATCATTAAATTTGACACGGAACCACCAATATTTAAAAAACACACATTATATTATTATTCTACTTTGATAAATTTATACATATTTTTTCCCCATCAATTTAGATGAGAATAATCAATGCAGAGTGTGCAGACATTTCAAAATCCCGAGTTAAAAAACGCTGACTATGCGAGTATAAATATTAAAGCCGAACAGAGCGGAGCGGCGCGCTGCCAGCGCGAGAGGCTCACTGTCGCCTACAAACCTAAGTGGATACCTCACGCATTGCACAATGCTTGAAGTATCCACTTAGGTTTGTAGGCGCCAATGCGCGTTTTGCGCTGACCGCCCGCCCGCCGTGCAGCGGCGCTTGAAGCAACTATTTCACAACAGAGGTGTTGCACAGTATTATACGAAATTGAACGTATTGAGAATGACAGGCATCCTTTAAAAATACAGATCTTTCCTCGCAAAATAAATCAAGATACTTATCGCACACAGAAAAAATCTAAGAGCCTTTGCCTGTGGCAAATATAGAGGTTTATCCGGTTCAGGTATAACAAGGTGGGAATTTCTTGAAAGATAATTAACTCCTGTCACACCAAAGAAGTGTAGAGAGTTTAAGTGAATTTTGTTGCTAGCTAGAGTGGTAATTTTAATTTTATAACAAATTTTGGATCGGTGATAATATCTACGAGTACGCTTCATAAATTATAACTTAAACCGAGAAAGTGCGTATCAGTACCTCTCAGTTTAGTGAAGAAGAGATGAAAAAGGCGAATGTGGAATTTGCCCTGCATCCTTACATGGAATTGCTATTTCGGCAGATTGAAAAATAAAATCTTACTTGGTTTTATCTTGGGCCAATCCTTGACAAAGTCGATTCTTTCATCGATAAATTCTTCGTTGGCGTACGATAGAATAAAACGGATTGTTTCGCCAGCACCTTTCAACGAGAAGTACGTTAGTTTTGGAGGACCCATGGCGCTTTTTCTGCAAAAAATCGAGAAAACATTTGCTGCTTATCATCGCACAAAGTCACCATACTTTCGAGCTAGGAATAACGGCACCGTAAGAACATTTGAATTTGTTTAAATTTTCTCGCCTCCAATATTCATTTTTGAGGAAGGTTATAAAATTTCTTAACATTTTTGGATACTTTCGATGAGGTTGCAAACATATATTGCGGTTCTTAATTTCATACCTTGTCCAGTAGTCTATTGAAAAGTGGAAATTTCAAACCTGATAAGTGTCATCAGGTGTTGCAAAGTTTATGCATAATTAACTGTGAAAAAATTTGAAAAAACAAAAAAAAACAAAAAAATAAAAGAAAAAAAGAAAGAGAAGAAAAAAGGCAAAATGGAAAAAAGGAAAAAAGAAAGAAGGAAAAAAGAAAACAGGAAATAGGAAAAAAGAAAAAAAAGAGAAAAAGAAAGAAAAGGAAAAAAGTAAGTAGTAGTAGTAGTAGTAGTAGTATAATTTTATTTTAAAGCGGTGCTTTAGCATCTAAGGCCATTTACACCTCTAAAGAGGGCAGTAACAGTAATAAATTTACATGGAAATATCACTAAAAATACAAAGGGTTGAGAGAAGTAAGAAAGAAAAATAGGAAAAAAGAAAAAAAAAGAGAAAAAGAAAAAAAAGGAAAAAAGTAAGAAAGAAAAAAAAGAAAAAAGTAAAAAGAGAAAAAAAAAGAGAAAAAAAGGAAAAAATAAACAAAAGGAAAAAAAATAGTTTCACTTCAGAGAATTGTTTAAACATTTTTGTTCTTATTTTCATGGTAGGAATTCTTAATTTCATGAAATATGGGTTACAGATAAAGGAGAGAGACAGTTGCGCGATATTAGCAACTTCTGATGCCGATCACCGGATTTTGAATTTCCACTTTTCAATAATCGAAGCATTACGTTGTCAGTTTCAGAGGAATAAAATACGGAAACTTACTTTTAAAATGACCCTCTTATTGTTACAATGAATCGAAACAAGTAATTCCCGATAATTCTTAAAGTCAAAGGAAAAAATTAAAAGCTGTCATGAATTACGCACGTCCTAGGAGAATCCAGCGTGTATTGAGACTGCATACTTTTAGGGACGGAGCCTCTCAAGAGGAGATTGAGGAGGATCCACCTGGTTCCATCTTTGCCGCGCTGAGGAAAAACGCCGTATGAGCATTCCAGAGTAGTCAAATTTCCTGCAATAAAATGTCTATTTTTAGGGAAAGATATGAATATACTACCTTGAAGTTTGCAGAGACTTTGGGTAAAATTGCGAGGAAAATTATCTGAAAAATTGGAAGAAAATCATTAGTTTACCCGGAAATGCTTGTTTAATCAGAGAGGAAATTTGGCAACGCCTGAAGGTTCATACTCCGTTTTTTCCTAACACGGCAGATCTGCACTGCGAGTGGGCTGACAAATATTATGATGGATGATGTCATGATGTGTCACAAGTTGTACTTTCCCGGGTAAGATAAGATAGTGAATAGATTCACCTATGCGCGCTTACATTTTGCTAATAACTGTGCACTATTGAACATCTTGATATTTATGAACTGAAAAGGTGACTCAACAGCGTGGCGTGAGAGCCAATGAACTCTTCACAGCCTAATCAATTCACAGATCATACGACACTTAAAGCGTTGGTATTACCGAACTCTTGATTTTGTTTACTAACTATGTCTAATCCCAATAATCGTCTTTTACAGGTTCCAAAACCAGTGTTTACGGAAATTTTATTTTTCAGTGCCTATTAGAATCAGTATTAAAATTTTTCTCCCACAAAATTACCAAAATTGATGCGTGTCAACTGACAAATCAAAAATTAATGCGTTGCAATGGACAAGGAGGTAGGTAATAGAGTAAGTAACGGCAACCGACAAGAGACCCTTTAGTTCGTCCATCATGTTCCCCCATAGTCTGTAAAAATCGACCTGATCAACCGATAAGATTGCTCCATACTCCCTATGTCTTCTTTGTCTATCGCTTTGTCAAACAATTTCAACAATTAGCCGGCAGTTTCCCGTATTCTCTCCAATTTAATAGTATTTTCAGCTCTAAATTATACTGACAAACTACGGATACGGAGCATCAGCGGGCTGATTATCGAAATCGATAGACAGAGCGATAGACAACGAGGAGAAAGCAGAGACAATTTTCCCCTGTCTGGTTCGACAGAGCATTCAATTATGAAACGTATCTGAGAGTTTACTTCAGGAAAAAATAAATGGAAGTAAAAACATAAATAAATAAAAATAATGCGGTGCGATTCTTTTCCCCTTAGTGTATCATAAGCCCCAAAAAGCTCCATAAACACGTAATACAAATAAAGGAGCTAACTGCAGAGCTTTTCACGAAACTTATACGTCTCCAGACCACTTTTATTCCGAGTTTCCCGCCCTCTTAGAATTTCTGCAATCTGCAATCCGAGACGGAGCGCAGCCATTTCATAGAACTTTGAGAACGATTTGACACCCGCAATAGATTCCGAACTTGCTAAGCGCAGTTTTATCCCTCCTAATGGTGAGCATCGAATGTGTTCTCGCCTTTTATTCTAACCACATTTTTCCCTCACCCCCTTTCTTTTCTTCCCTTTTCTTTTCCCTTTACTTTTCTTTTTTTTAAACTTAAATTGGTTCACGGCTCCGATCACGCAGCTTCACCACACCGCGGCACCGCGGCAAACGTTGCCAGGTCGTGAAAATATTCCATTATTCGATGATAATGACCTTTGAATAATTATTCAGTGAAAGATTAGCCTATTTATGATTGGAAATTCAGAAACTTGGTGTTTGTCGTGTTCTTTAATTTGTAATTTGGTGCCAAAATCTCATAATCTTGCGAGAATTTTTAACTTTACTGTTGGAATTTCCGGCGGTTTAATATTCCCGGATAAGACCTCACATTAAGTTTTGTAGCGCATATCAAAATATTTTAAATCCACGGGGTGTAGTAATATTTGGTCCCTTTATAAATAACTTTATGTATGACCCTAGCAATACCTATGACCAGAGGCGATTCTTGGAATTTGGCAACACTATTTTCCCTCCATTTGAATGTATGTAAAACAATCGATTCCTGGTGAGGCAGTTTGCCTCACCTAAAATCGATAATTTCAATGGATTTCAATGGAGGATAAACATTATTGCCAATTTGCAAAATCGGCACTGATCATAGGTATTATTTGAATCGTGCATGAAGTCTATTGTGGAAGAACCAAATATCACTACACCTCGTGGATTTAAAATATTTTGATATGCGCTACAAAACTTAATGTGAGGTCTCATCTGAGAATATTGAACTGCCGGATATTCCTACAAAGGTTAAAAGTACTCGCAAAATTATGAGATTTAAGCACCAAATTATAAATTGAAGAGCATTCAAATCATTAAAGGAAAATCCCAAAAAAATAAACATTAATGGACAAATAGTCATTTTTAATGCAATTGTCGGGGGAAAATTTTGAAATTTTCTTTTTATTTTAAAAAATAAGAAGGAAAAAAAACAGCTCCAAAGTTTAAATGGAGAATGAAAATTCCTGTGATTCAAACTTGGGAAAAATCCCGTGATACGTCCCGAGGAGACAAGGCGTTAGATTCTTGCTCGACCGAGCGGAAAAAATCACATTTTTCTAATTTCGTCGGAGGGAATTTGGCAACGATGGAATGTTTCTCCTCAGCACAACACTACTCGCTCAGGGTCCGTGTTCCGCCGACGGACGATCCGACAACGCGACAGGAGCAAAAACCAACGGCAAACGGCTCACAATAGTACGAGGAGCGTATAATGAACTTTTCACTGGAAGCGTTTAAGTTTTGATTGCGAGAACTTTTCCGAACTCCATTTCCTTCCCTCGAATTTATTTCACATCCTCGCTAATGCCGCGTTTCCTGCCGTTCGCCGTTCGACAAGGAACGCGGGCCTGGACCGTCGAGGTCGCGGATGTCGGCCCAGAGCGCCGAAAAGTTAGGTCTTCGTTTTCGGAGCGGGAGGTCGTGTCCGCCCCCTCGCTTACTCCGTTGATTACGACAACTGCAGGCTCCCGGTTTGTTGATGGAATTTCACCCCGCGGTTTACGTTTATTTGCGTTCCGCACTGGGAAAAAAGGTTGGTGAATCCGATCAAAGACATAAAGACGGAGCACTAAAAGCAAAAAATGAAGCTTCTAGAGCTTCTTTTCAATCACCTCTACTATTGGCTAGAGGATTGGCGGCGAAATCGGGACAAGTTTGAATTCAAATGTAGGGCGGGAACTAATAAATAAAATTGCGGAAACAAAGTATTTTAGGTTGATTTTTGCCCAAATTCAGGTACACACTCATATTTTTTTAACTTTAGATTAGTTTCAGTCCGTCGTCGACCGATTAATTTCATTTGGGAGTAACGTTGATCTAGAACTGTAACGGCCTGTTTGAACCTGCAGAACCACCATGAGCAGAAGAAAAACTAACTTTATCTGAGATTACTGCCTGTTACCGAGCAAAAGTAGGTGTATTATATTAGGACGCAGACCGAACTTTCTTAGTATATTCGTTTTAGGAATTTAAAATACGTTTCAAAGAAGTAATGTGCAAGAATCAAGAGGACAAGTTCAAATCAAATTTCCGTTTGCCGCCATGGATTCCCGCGCTCATTTACACACTCACACAAGCGCGCAGCGCCGAACCTAGCTTCATTTTTCCCCGTGCTTTTAGATACGAGCGCACCGTCTTTATGTCTTTGAATCCGATCTAGTTGGGAGCATATGGGACCTAGGTTTTGTTAGACGAATTTTAAGGGAAACTCGATTTCGAAAATTTGACACTTACTGAAAACATATTTCCTCCTTTTCAAATGACTATTGATTTGGACATACCATAGCATAGCTGGGGCAAACTTAACCTTAATTTATTTCGAAATTCAAAAGTAAGAGACATCTAAAATGTAAACGCGGTACAACTATTCGCGCAAGATGGATGTCCACATTGCATATGAAAAATGTAAGACGCGATGCCGTTAGTCGTGAACTCGCAATGCTCTGCTCTAGTTTGAAGCAACATTACAAATAACACAAACGCAAACAAACACAATATGGAAAATGGAAATAAAGCGAGAGAAAGGATGCGCTTTAACGACGGCGCAGAAATACAACTATTCGTACTTGATGGACATCCGGGCTGCATCTGAAAAATTGAAGGCGCGATGACGCGAAACGTGAGCTCTCAACGCTCTGCTTTATGCTGTCAATGAAGCGTCGCTCTGATTCGGGAGAAAAGTAAAAAAAAACGGCCTAAAGACATCTCTCCTATGTATTACTCACGCAGTGCTTGAAGCACCATTACGAATAAGACAAACGGAAACAAACACAATATGGAAAAAGAGGGAGGGAATGGATGCGTGTTTACGACGGCGCAGAGATACAACTATTTGTACTTGATTGACGTCCGTGCTGCATCTGAAAAATTGAAGGCGCGATGACGCGAATCGTGAGCTCTCAATGCTGTGCTTCATGTTCAATTTTGCAATTTTTACTCCGTGCGATCAATAAACTTTGAACCTGAAAATAGCGTAAAGTTGTGCTGAATTGCCAAAATTTTCTGAACCCCTCTCCACGTAGGGAATGCTCTGCCAGGAAATATCACATTACGCCCCTTTAACCAGCCAAGGGTCTACGCCCTCAGATGCGAGCCAGTCCGATCCTGGCTTCCCCTTCAGTGGGCCGAAGAATTCGGTTGTGTGCACCGAACAAAACCTGGTTCCATATGCTCTTAACTAGCGTGGATGAACCGAACTTTTTTTTAGTGGCGGGTTTAAGGATGGTTCGAGTATTTTTATCTCGCCCAAATGCAAGGCTATAGGGGTCATCTATAAATATTGCCGTGATAGCGAAGAGAGCATTAAGTGTCACATTTTCGCAATCGGGTTTCCTTCCAAATTCGTCTGATCTCTTTTGGATGAAATCACCGAAATAGCTAAAACAGCAAAATTCAACATATGAGAAAGCTGCAAGCGCGCAAAAAATGACGTGGTTTCAGGCAAAACAGCAGTAAGTGACATTATTCCTCCAGAGAGTCAATTGAAAACAGTGCTTCC